CACATGTCCAGCAGTCACAGTGCGTGGGGCGGGGTACATTAAATGTAGTGAATAAAGATGAATTAATTTTTATTTATTTTGATCAAACAATTATTTAACCTGCCTCATCCAGTCCACAAATATTTTCATGCTTAATTAGTTTTGGCACCATGAGGACATTTGTTCTTTGAAAAACAGKTTCGTTTGAGTGTTTCACATATTGATTAATGAAACTGTATAATATGACAGATGCTGTTTRGACTGTAAAAATTACTTAAGATGATGATGTTTCCCAGGGTTTTCTGACTTGTTGCATCTGAGAAGGAGTGGGGCTCTGGTTACTAGGTTTTATGTCCAGTTTTGTTACACCGGGCACTTCTTTTCCCTCCTGAACCAGCTGCAACACCTCTGCGAAGGACAGCTGTTTTGTCTCTGGGTGTGCAGATGTTTCTGTTTGGTTCTCTGAGTCTGAAGGTGACAGGTTCCTCTGGTCCTGCTGGAGGTCTGAAGCTTTCACATGATGGGATGAAGAGCACCACGTCCTGTAGCTCTGCTGGTCTATGGGCTCCACAAACCTGAAGCCAGACAGGAGGACAAAAACAGCAAAACATAAAACTAAATCAGTAGTCAAAGTGACTCACATGAAACAATGTACAAGAAAATATCAGCTTCCAGTAGGCTGAAGTTACACTTCATTATTTAACTTCTACCTCTTCATAACATTTGTCAGTTTAATAAAATAATGTTGAGTTTAGCAAAAAAAAAAAAATTCATGTGACAATTCATTTGAGTTCTTTAAGCACTTCAAATATGAATTTTACGGCTTATTTTAATACCTGGCTTAAATTAAAGACAGTTTTTTTGCTGTAAAACATTCAACACACTAAGAGGAGACAAACATGAATAATAAAACCGTCGTTTACCTGTTATAATAGAAAAGTTTGAGGTTCAGCATCTCAGTTTCTTCTCTGCTTTTCTCAGACTTTTCTAAAGTTTTCAGCCCGGCCGCAAACCGCTGATCAGCCTCGAAGTTATACGATTCAAACCGGACGAAAACGGACTCCATATCACTCCAGTTTAGTAAATATTAACAAAAACACTCATAAAATGCTCCATCAATTGGACTTCCGGAAGAACTATGCTGTTTACCATCAACAAGGTGGACGAAGAAGGTATAAAAGTGAAGCAGCCGGGCTGCAGCGCCCCCACAGATGAGACTGAGTACTGCAGCCAAACCTGTCAAAAACCATGAGAGAAATACAGTATATAGTATTAACACTTTACAGTTTAGGTAAATGAGTCAAGAAAAAATTGTTTATATCAATTCCCTTTTTTGTGTGTTTTAATCTGTAATATAACAATACAATATTGCTATGTGGGGTTGGTATTTCAATAGAAACTGTGAAAAATACATGCACAGCTGCAAAGCAGAGTTCAGATATTTCTTTTAAATATTATAAAGACAATATCTGTTGCAAAAACCCAGGTTTTGTGATCATTATGTTCACAACAATTCTCCATGTGTGAGGTCCTCATCATCACTAAATTTGTAATTTTGCATGCAGTTTGTTTCTTCTGTAATATTAATATTTTGCACAGACACTGAAATATTTATGCATGTTTAGATGTTGAGCAGCCTTACACTTGTGATTTATTAGGGAACATTTAAAATATTTTTGATGAAAGTAAGTCTTTTCTCTTTGAATCTTCAGGCTATCATTTGATCTCAGTCACACACAGTCAGCTGATCAATCAGCTGTTTCTGTTCTTCAACCACTGACCTGATCAATGTCACACAGACCACCCAGATGCATCCTTCACAAAGTCTGCGTCAAACTGTCTAACTTACATCTGTTGTCTGTTTTTTTATTAAAACAGTTCTTATCCCTTGTTTCATGTGTTCTTAATGTTGTTTGATGTTACACGTTGCGACAGTGGTTGTTTTAAAGCACTTTACTAATGAACTAATAGAAATAGTCTTCTAGGGCTCATCTTTGAGTGAGATGTTATTTAATGTTTCATCGAGGAAAAATCAGAGAACTGAACTTATGTTTCACTGAACACGAACATCTGCAGACTTCATGGTCAGAGAAATATTAAAACAAGTTCCTCATTTGAGTTTTTTTCTAGACTAATTTGTATCATTGATCTTTTGTTACACGTGACCCTCCTGTAGCTGCTCTACGCTCTGATCTTTGTGTGTTTTTAGTCACGTTTCAGCTCATGTTGTGCGAGTGGGCCGTGGTGAAATGAACATGTGTGGCGAACAGAAACATGATCCCGTGTGATTGTTTCTCCTCTCGCTCTGTCCTTCACTGCATCACAGCAGCAGTGTGAGCTGCTCTGGAGCCAGTTTATTACATATTAATTATAGGCAGAACACGATGAGCCGATTGTTTCCCTTATTAGTGAAGCAAAGAGTCCAACAGGTAAAGAGGCAGAAAAGGAGGAGACTCCTGGTGATTAGCTCTAATCTCATTAAATACTTAAGAGACAGTTGTTCTGTTTTTGAACATGTGACGTAACAGCTGCTACGTCCTGAAAACCCAGACTGGAGAGGAAAACAAGTTTCTGAAGGTTACGATAAAAAAATCAGACAAAGAAGTGAAGCTTTGAACAGAATTTATTGATCAAAGCAAGTTTATTTTCAGCAGAATACGATACAGGAAGTAGAAAATGAATCACAAGTAAATGAAATAAAGGTGACGCTCGTTTGTAAAAGAAAATGATGTGTTTTTGTTGCACAAAAAAAAAACAAAGCTGCACTAAACATGACACATTGAATCTGACGTTACAAATTAAAATCCCTCTTTTTATCTGATGATGTTGGAGTAAAATCTGYCCTTTTCTCTCCTGTCAGCCACAGCTGGAGTCTTGGCTCATGTATCTGTGTTGGTGGAGCTTTCCCAGGTTGGATGTTTGTCTTTGACTCGAGCGACGGGAGAAGCAGAAGGTCAGCGTGCTGCTGGAGCTGCAGTCGTAGTTTCCATCCTGGCCAGAAACAAGACAGACATGAGGTTTGTACTCGTAAAAAAACTCACAAGCTCCCCAGAAAATGACTATAATCTGCACCACAAACTGGGTCTTTGGCTGATTTAATGTTTCAGGACAGATATTAGATGTTAATTGATTCCAACAAAGCAGTTCTTTTTTAATTTGAAACTCTGGAGCTGAAATCATTATATAGTTAGTTAACCAACAGAAAGACCATTAATGGCAAATCTAAAAGAAAATAATCAAAAAAATCAACTTATGAATGAATAAAATCTACACTTTTTACGTTTTCTATAAATTTAAAACAAGCTGTTTTGCGCTTCCAAAATCATTATTTCTTGTTATATTTATTAATTATATTATATTAAAGACCATCATTTAAACAATCATTTATTTTTATGATGATTTATGCAATTAATGAAAGCATAAAGTGACATGGTGAAGTGCAAAAGCATTTACCCCCATTTATATAAGGTATCCTTCAAAGCTGAATTTTAAATTTGATGCAAACAAAGTTCTACAAAATAATGACCCTAAAAGTTTTAGGTTTTGTAAAAAATATTTAGAATTATATGGTGTTAACGCTCCCTTTGCTCGAAGCTCGAACCATAACCTTCAGCAAATCCACAAGTGAGTACTCTGAGTGTCGGATCTGAATTAAAGCTGCACCCACAGATTGACATCGCTCCAGTATTATGGTCTACCATCAAACATGCAACATCATGAAGAACAAGGAATTCTTCACACAGATCAGAACCAAAGTTGTGGAGAAGTAAAAATCAGGGTTGATTTATGAAAGAATATCCTAAACCCTGAACATCCCACAAAGCAACAATAAAATTTTATTAATAAAATTTAAACCCATTACTGAGCGATGTAGAATCATCACCACAGCCTAGACCAGGCGTCTGCAACCTTTATGATCAAAGGAGCCACTTCTGCTCCTTGTTTCACTAATAACATGTGTCCAGAGCCACAAAACAAGCTGCAACTGTGATTATCAACTGGTGGTCCGTGGGCCTTTTCATGGCCTTTTTTGGAACCTTTATGGCCAGTGGAGGTGGCATTATAAAACTAAAAAATATATACTGTGAATTTGATTACACATCAGGACAAATGAAAAGACCAGATTCAGGTAAACATAAAAAATACTGCATGTAGTTTATCCTGAATTTCATAAAAACTAGTACAATTGAACTGTTCAGGTATATGTATTTTTTCTAATTCTTATTACTATATAGTCTTCAAATTCTTTAAAAGTAATTCTAATGCATTTGAGAGAAAGAAGTTGGATTATTTAAGTAAACAACATAGCATGAGCTAACATGTTTTACTTTTTGTGTTAGTAGTATTGATCACTTTTTTTTGCATACAAATTGATTTCTGTTGTGAGTATAAAAAACAAACAAAAAATATTCTGTTATGTTTGGTCACATTTTCAAAGTAACACTGCAGAAGGACCAAAGAGCCACAGGTTACAGACCCCTGGCCTAAACTCAGACAGGGAGGCCATTAACCAGAGAAGCAACTGTCCTTTTCCTCTACAGGTTTTTCTGTGCACAGTGGTGCTGATGCCCATCTCCAGCGATCATTTGCAAAAATACAGAGTTAGACAGGTCAGATAAGTACTCAGGAGGCTAAAGATAACCCCACTCCTGCAGAGATGGAAGTTTGTCCACAGGACCATTAGAGGTTGCATAGAGCTGGGCTTAAAGAAAAACAATTTGGCAAATCAGTTGGTCAAATGGGACCAAACTCAAACTTTTAGGCTAACGACAACACCATGTTGGTGGACCGAGCGCTGAATAGATATGAATGCATTTTTGGGTTTTATTTATTCTATTTTTTTGTTTGTTTCACTATGAAAACAAAGTGATATGATGTTAAACTCTACATGTGACAAATCATATTTTTTACCTGTGAAAACAATAATAAATTATTATGTCTGGCCTGCACTTTGACATGTGACCAAATATATGGTGGAATTGAACCATCAACTCTCTCATTAGAGGAACAACAGCCACAGTTCAGTTATTTCTTCAGGGGACATTTAGGCGGTCTGTATCTGACTCACACTGTAGGTTTATCAAGATTTTTCCATTTAACCTTTGTTTAATCAGATAAATCCCACTGAGCTCACAGATCTCTTTTTCAGTGGAGGTCTGGGCCTGACGTGCATGTTTTGGCCTCTGGGAGGAAACCTGAGAAACAACAACATGTGAACACAAGGAAAACATGGAAACTCTACACAAAAAAAAAACACAGGGTCCAAACCGGGGCTGAAACCGAGGTCCTTCTTTCTGTGAGACAACACTGCTAACCACTAAACCACCGTGGTGCCCAAACTTGAACCCAGACTAAACGTGTCTCTGGACATGTGCGGTTTTCTAGATTGTGTTTTCTTGTTTATCAGTTTAAATTCAAATCCCACACATTGATAATGTGTGATTACTTCTCATCATAGCAGCAACAGTTTGGCCTTTAAACAGTTTATCTAGTACCTTCTGCAAATGTGTGTGTGTGAGTGTTCCTGGTTTTGTTGTCTTTTTAGAAACCTTTCTGGTATAAACACCTAACTTGTCAGGACCAGAGATCTTTTTTGGGGACCAAAGACTGATCCTAATTTGATGGACCACCAATGGGGGCTTTAGGGTTTGTAGTAGTAATGTTTTGGGTAAGGGTTAGGGTTGGGCTTTAAAACTGACTGGAAATGAATGGAAGTCAATCCACGGTCCCCACTGGGATATAAAAACAAGACTGTAAGATCATATTTCTCTTCCTCTCACCTCTGCTGGGATGGTACTCTGACTGTGTCGGACTCTGGGGGTCAGGTTGCTCCTCTTCTCCTCTCTCTGGACTCGAGCGCTCTCCTCCCTCTGCTTCATGAACCTCTGGTTGACGATCCGGGTCACGCTGTCATTCCTGTGCAGCTGAGGGACCTGAGGTCTCATGGGAACGCGCTCCAGGTTCTTCAGGCCGCTTTTGGCCTTCTGCGCTGACCCCGGAGCGGCTTTGTCCGCCCGCCCACTCATCCTGCGCAGGAACTCTGTCACTAGACCGCAGCGGTTGGCGCCGGTGGACTTGCTGGATGTCTTGGGTCCACTCGCAGAACCGTGGGTCTGAGCCGCACCTGATCTGGGGCTGGCTTGTCGAGTCCAGGCGAGGCCAGAGTAGCTCTGGTGCGACCACGGTGCTCGGTCTCTCAGAGCAGGCGAAGAGGAGGTCGTGCTGGAGGAGTGTCTGCGGTACAGTTTAGGAGAGGAGCTGGAGGTTCTGGGCCTCTCCATCCGACCTGCTAACCCATCCAGAGAGGTGGAGATGTGGCGAGAGCGGGCAGAGACCAGGGAGGAGCTCGGGACTCTGGAGGGGCTGTTCTTCATCGCGATGGACCCCTGAGTCCCATCGGTCTGCTGACCAACGCTCACCATCTGAGGCTTCAGGTGGGTCTGAGTACCTGAGCAGGTCACGTCCACCCAGCGGCCCGCTGTCCTCCCCCTCTTCTCCTGTGGGCCGCCGTGGGCCGCCTGCCTCCAGCTGGCGTTCATCTCCTTCATGTCATCGCTGAGGTTAGCAGAGGAGCCGAGGCAGAGCTGAGAGAAGGAGGTGGGAGGCGTGCACCAAGGGGAGAAGGTGTCCACGGACTCTTGGTCTGTCCTGGGTCTCCGCTTCAGCTGAGCCAGCTGGACCCTGCGGGCTGACGGGGGGCTGTAGTAGATCCTGAAGGCCGACTTCTCGGGGGCAGTGTGGCTCCTCTCCATCGAAATCTGCTCAAAGTCCAGATCAGGGAAGCTAAGCGGCATGATTAGATGGTCCCACGTCTTAAAGGGGTCCTCTCGGTCCAGCTGGGCAGCCTCCTGGCTCAGATAGCACCAGTTTCTGATTTTGGAGCCACGAGGAGAAAACAGCCGTCTGAGTTGGTTTTCTTTGGCGCTGCAGATTCTGTGGAAAGATGAGGAGGAACATGAGCTGCAGATCTGGGAACAATTAAACAAGATGAAGACATTTAAAGAAAAACACTGACCTGAGCCCGTCATAGAGCTGTCCATCATGAAAATCACCACTGATGCAGCTCTGAGCCAAAAAGAGAAAAAACGTGTTACTCAAAAAAAGGAATTAGATTCAAGCTTTAAAGGGCCTGTGACATCAAATTTTTGTAATAAACATGAATACATATTTGGAAAGATAACATTGATAACATATTGCAAAACAAATTTCACATCACTGAGATGAACAGTTGTTGAGATATTTGCAAATGAAGAAACAGGAAGTGATGTCAAAGGGGAATGTCGGCATGTAAACAGCTTTGTTGCAAAAGCTAAGAACACAGACTGTAGAGAAGAATCTGATGTTTCTTTAGATTATTATGAGTCACTATCAAAGAGAGACGAAGAAGAGTTAAAGTTTAAATAATTTTGTTCTAGTAAACAAAAACCAGGGCTTTATTTTATTAATGAGTTCCCCTTTGATTTCACTTCCTGTTTTACTTTGGCTGAGCCAAATTCAAAAGAAACAGGCTGGTTTTGTGACAAAGTGGGTTAAATCATGTGTGTTATGCCAATTTTATTAAGTATAAAGATGTTTTCTTTGACTTTGTATTTGAAGGATAGGCATGTCACAGGTACTTTAAAACTTTCCCGACTGACTGCTGGATGAACAAGTATCTGAATAGAGTTTTTTATTTGTCTGCCATCAGCTGAAGGTAAACCTGAAATCCTTTGTACCACAGCAGACCATGTTTTCTCAAGGAAAGAGGAATTATAATCCACTGAATTACAAAAACTGAAACAAGAGTCCTGCATGATCTGCATTAAAACTCTTTATTTTTGCATTTGTTGGTAAAAAATCAACAAGAAGAAGTGAACTGGACTGTTTACGGGTCAGAGTAAGTCTGCCCTGTTTGGCTGCAGCACCTACTACAGATTACCCTCAATACTCTGGCACGAGCCTCCTCATGAGGCTGGCAGGGAGAACTCATCAGTGGGACGTCCCACTGTGTCACACACTCACACAGCTTGTGGGGGGAGGATGGGACACATGCATCCTTACCTCGGCTCCGGCCTCGCTGTCATCTCGCAGCTCTGCGCTGAGATCTCTCAGCAACCCGAGCAGCACAGACAGAGTTTGGTCTCTGCCCTGTGGGGGAGAGGAAAATCAGAACTGGAGCTTTTTGGAAAATACACTAAAAGCACGAAACTTTTTGCGTGTGTTCCTCTGTTCTGTGCACAACATATTGTAATCTAATAAGCCACTGAATGGATTTTAAAGAAACCTGTTTGTGAATCTCCAGCAGGTTAACATTTGGAGCCAGCCTGCATCATGATGGCAGCTAACGCTAACCCAACTTAGCAAACACAGGAATGACTATAACTCGGTCATTTGGACAGAAATGAAGCTAAAATCTGGTGTGGTAGTAGCTGAGCCTCGTCTCTAACTCTGAGTGTTGCACATTGCAGTGAGAGAAATTATTGGGGTTCATGTTACTTACTGATTTAATTGCATCACACATAGTATGGGTTATTTTACGTTAGAACTATAACGACTGTTAAACGTGACTTTTGATTAACTTGATGATTCTATATTAATAGGTACATGTCTGATAACAAATACAACACATATTGAACTTTCAATCATTAGAATAGATTTATTGTACGAGCCCCCCCCCCCCCTTCATTGATGATGTAATCAATAGGTGGAGTCCTACCCTGAAGCTGTTGATAAAAACTCTTGTGATTTCCTGGATCGGTCTGATTTCCCTGGTATCATTAAACCGGACATCAGCAGAGCTCTGGTTTTGTATGGCCGTTACTTTAAGTCTCTCTCAATGCATTTGCACACTCTGCATGGTTTCGCACACATCTTGGTAAGAAAACGAAATAATGCCTATTTCTTTCAGCAGGAAGTTGAAGTATATTTTGTAACTGATTGAATGTTCAATACAGTCTTGTATATATTCTAATCATTGCAGTCATATGGTTTAAGTAGAGAATGAGTGTGTGTGTTATCATGTGTTCTTTCTGTCTTCATAAACAAAAATTGGTGACGTTAATGTCTGACATAAAAGATACCACCTCCAGGGGTGTGGCCAGGAAGAGACAAATGTTAAAAGGTGGAATCATTATTATTGAGCAGAAGTTTTTAGAATAAGTTTTTGTTAGTTTCTCTCCTTATATACAGCCTGCAACAGTTCAGGCTGTTTTGTTTTGCTTTCCTGATAAGCAGTGGTGGGCACAGTTCCCTTAAAACACTAAAGCACTAATAGGGGAACTAATTTCCTGATTAGTTTTTCTTTGGGGCTTTTGATCATTTGAAAATGTATTCGTGGATTAGCACTTGCTAAATTTAGAAGCACTAACTGGTCTATAAACGCTATTTATCAATTTTAATGTTAACAGCTGAGGGTGCAAGCTGTCACATTTTGTTCATATGTGTGTCACTTACAGTGGTTTGCAAAAGTATTCATACCCCTTGAACTTTTCCATATTTTGTCACATTACAACCACAAACATAAATATATTTCACTGGAATTTAATGTGAAAGACCAACACAAAGTGRTATACAATTGTGAAGTGGAAGCAAAATTTTACATGAATCAAAACATTTTTTACAAATAAAAAACTGAAAAGTGCGACGTGCAAAAGTATTCAGCCCCCTTTTCCCTGAGTGCAACCAATTGCATTCAGAAGTTGCCTGATGACTGCTAATGACTCAAAAGGGTCCACCTGTGTGTAATCTAATCTCAGTACAAATACAGCTGCTCCGTGACAGCCTCAGATGTTGGTTAAGAGAATATTGGGGAGCAAACAGCATCATGAAGTCCAAAGAACACACCAGACAGGTTAGGAATATGGTTTTGGAGAAGTTTAAGGCAGGCTTAGGTTATAAAAAGATTTCCCAAGCTTTGAACATCTCACGGAGCACTGTTCAATCCATCATCCGGAAATGGAAAGAGTATGGCACCACAGTAAACCTGCCAAGACAAGGCCGTCCACCTAAACTTACAGGCCGAACAAGGAGATCACTGATCAGAGAGGCAGCCAAGAGGCCCATGGTGACTCTGGATGAAATGCAGAGAGCCACAGCTCAGGTGGGGGAAACTGTCCACAGGACAACAATTAGTCGTGCACTACACAAATGTGGTCTTTATGGAAGAGTGGCAAGGAGAAAGCCATTGTTAAAAGAAAACCATAAGAAGTCCCGTTTGCAGTTTGCCAGAAGCCATGTTGAGGACACAGCAAACATGTGGAAGAAGGTGCTTTGGTCAGACGAGACCAAAATTGAACTTTTTGGCCACAATGCAAAACGCTATGTGTGGCGGAGAAAGAACACCGCACATCACTCTGAAAACACCATCCCCACTGTCAAATATGGTGGTGGCAGCATCATGCTCTGGGGGTGCTTCTCTTCAGCAGGGACCGGGAAGTTGGTCAAAGTTGATGGGAAGATGGATGGAGCCAAATACAGGGCAATCTTGGAAGAAAACCTGTTGGAGTCAGCAAAAGATTTGAGACTGGGGCGGAGGTTCACCTTCCAGCAGGACAACAACCCTAAACATAAAGCCAAAGCTACAATGGAGTGGTTTTAAAAAAAGAATATTCATGTGTTAGAATGGCCCAGTCAAAGTCCAGACCTAAACCCAATTGAGAATTTGTGGCAAGATCTCAAAACTGCTGTTCACAAACGCTCTCCATCCAATCTGACTGAGCTTGAGCTGTTTTGCAAGGAGGAATGGGCAAGAATTGCAGTCACTAGATGTGCAAAGCTGGTGGAGACATACCCTAAAAGACTTGCAGCTGTAATTGCAGCAAAATGTGGCTCCACAAAGTATTGACTCAGGGGGGCTGAATACTTTTGCACGTTGCACTTTTCAGTTTTTTATTTGTAAAAAATGTTTTGATTCATGTAAAATTTTGCTTCCACTTCACAATTGTATACCACTTTGTGTTGGTCTTTCACATTAAATTCCAGTGAAATATATTTATGTTTGTGGTTGTAATGTGACAAAATATGGAAAAGTTCAAGGGGTATGAATACTTTTGCAAACCACTGTATCTACAATATGTGAACTCGTACAGCTGTGGGATGTCAATGATAAGTCTTCAGAGAGCAACATGGCAACATGTGACTCAGGTTGTCTGTTGAACAATGTTCATGGGTTGACTCGGTTATTTTAGTGCTTTAGAATTAGCTTTTGCTAAAACTTTCAGTGCATTAGTGCTTTAGAATTAGGGGACCTAAATATTTGCGTTAGTATTTTAGGGCTAGTGGAACTAATTTTTAGATTAGTGCTGCCCACCACTGCTGATAAAGCTCCAGGACCTTCTTACTTACTGAGGCCTGCTGACTGTGCTACTGGAGCTGACTGGAGTCAAAGACAAGAATAAAGGTTTTTTAGCAGAGATTCAACTGAAATTATTCAGACTTYCATTTATTGATCTTGAATTCCCTTCATCGTTGTTGCTGAAAACATTAGAATGTTGGCCTATTTGCCTGTTACTGAAAATGATCATGAATCCATGAATCACTGGACAGATTTTATGAAACTCAGATAGTAGCATATAGAAGTTCCCCACATAGGTAGCATAACTGGTCCAGCCCAGTTCTGCCCTACACCTGAGCACTAACACTCGGACCAGATACCGCAAAGAATGATAGACCTTTGTTGGCCCAGATGTGTTTGCCATGGTCAGAGGTGGTCCATGCATGGGCCAGCACCACATAAACCAAACATCAACTGGGCCAGCTGTGGTACTGACAGATTTGGACCACATGTACCAAAACCACTGCTGCGCCAGTTGCAGCATAACCATCTTAAAACAGCGCAATCGTTGCCAGATCTGGCCCACAACTGTCTGTTATGTGGGGCATCACCGRCATGTCCACAGGATGGTTCCAGGACAAGTTTTAGGGTCACTATGGTTGTGTGCAGGCGAGCAGGCGGGACTTCAAACCTCACATTATTAATGCACAAATTCCTAAACACACAACACAGCAGCTCCCATAAASCAGGTCCTAGTGGCTTCAGCTCCCAACAATATTTCCTACATGTTGATGATGAACGACTACAACTGAATATGTTTTGGAGTCAACTTAATTTAAAACGGCTACCAGAGTTAATCCACTTTAATGAACACAAAAATAGCTACAGCTGAGTGATGACAGATTGTGTGAAATTTTATATGTTATTTTCAAGATTTGACCAAAACAATTTCAACTCCATCACTTTTCAACGTAAGACTATAGTTTAAACTCAGGTATAATAAGTGAGATGCATTCCTTCAGGGAACGTTAGACCTTTAACTGTACCTGCTTTTCTTTGACRTTACACCACCGGTGAAGGATCCAAAGTATCTGTAGCGACAGTTGCATTTTTGGATCCTTGCAGCTGTTTACGGTGTCACATTGTTTCACTTGTTTTGTTGTCTGCTTCTCTTCGAGGTGCTCCTTTTTAATTTTCAGCCCCTCGATGTTGTTATTATTTGCACAAAGAAACGAGGGCGTGCACAAATCCAACGTATACTCCTGTCTGTGAACACCATTTCTGTATTCCTCCTCTCCTGCCAAACACAAGTTCATCTTCCCAATGAAGGCCAGCAGCATGACCTGCAGGAGGTCTAAAGCCTCGGTTAGAGACATCTGCGATTTGCCGTTTGAGATGCCGTCAGTCGGAGAGGTGAGAGCAGCTGAGGGAGGGGGGCTGTGTTCAGTTCTGGAGGAGGTTGTCAGAAGCTGGATGGCTGAAGTCAAAATGCAGGACTGATCTCTGAGAGCAAGAAGAAAGTCATGGTCGACTGCAGTCATCCCTTTCAGTCCTCTGTCAGGTTTTTTGTTGTCGTCGTTCTCCTGACAGTTTGAAGGGTCCCGCTCGCCCCCCACAGGACCTTCTCTGACGATCTGACACTCAGGAATCACCCGGCTGCTCTGTGCCAGCGAAGATCTCTCAGCATCAGCGTTTTTCTTCCCTGACTCTTCAACCTGTCGCTGCAGGTAGACTGTAGGTCTCAGGCTGCCCTCTCCATCCGTCATCCCCGAGGCCAGCAGGAGACTTTCCTCCAAAACATCTTCCTCTTCTCCTCCTCCTCCCGATTTCTCTCTGAGGTCACTCATCTCTGCTCGCAGCCCGCGGTTCTCCACCTCCAGCTCAACGATGCGCCGGCTCAGAAGGGTGGCCTCCTCTTCCACCAGTTTCAGGTGAACTTTGACCTCCGACTCCCTGGTGTGGGCGGAGCTCTGTTTGCCTTCAGGCCACTGGGCGGCGTCCACGTCGCCGAACGTCGACTGGTACTTAGCCAGCTCCTCGCGTGTGGCCTCGCTCTCCGACACCAGCTTGGTGAGCTTCTTGCACATGAGAGCCAGTTCTTCTTTGGCAAAGTGGAGTTGGCACTTCAGATCAGCGCTGTCGTCCTTTTGAGAACCAAACAGTAATGTTAACCACCAGAAAACAGCAGGTAAATCATGAATGAAGAAACTGAAAGATCGCAGACCTCCATCTGCTGAGAAAGCCTCTTCTCTGCCTTACTGGCTGTCGATCTGATGCTTCTCTTCTTCGTTGAGCTCTGAGGAATAAAAGTAAGCATTTCAATGAGAACCCACTGATCTTTGAAAAAATACATGCCTTTGAGCAACTTCTATCTATGAGTCATTTAAAAAAGACTAATAAATGTCAAGAGTTTGCATTAGCTTAAAGGACTTAGATGTTCTGAAGATTAGTGGTAAATTAGGAACTATTAGTATCTTACCTGCTGTGGATAGCTATTTTTGTTTGTAGAAAATCTGGCGAGCTAACAGCCAAATAATCTTGCCATCTTGACACAACTCTAATCTAAAATATTTTCATATTCATCATTTTAAAAACCTCTACACTGTTGTCACATTTGCATTAAATATTTACCGTATTAATTCATGTATAATTGTATAATAGGATAATAATTTTTTGAGATTAAAAATCTAAAAATCTAAAATCTAATCATCAATAACCTGTGTATAATACTACCCCCCCCCCCACACACACACACACACACACACACAAACACACACATTTCATGGATGATTTTTTGGTGTTAAATTTCTAGTATTATACATGAAAAAATACAGTATTTATAAAGAATTCTCTTAGGGTTTGTGCAGCAGCAACAAGCTGTATCATTTCTGCTGCAGCCTGGGTCACTTCCTGCAGGAATATCATATTATTTCTGCTGAAATAACCATTTAATTCCAAACTGAGGGCGATGTAAAGGTTTTAAAGGGATCCATGATTAGTTGTAACATTAAACTTTATTTGATAAACTTTTATTTAAACTGTAAAATAAAGACTGTAAAATACTGTAGGATGTTTAGTTGTGTAAATTTTTTTTAAATATATTTTAACATGGATGGAGCCATTTTATTTACACGCAAAGCATTCTGGGTAAATGATGACATCAACTAGGTCATCGGTGCGAGGCTGCTTGCGAGCTATATCCACCCTGAAGGTTAATCTTGGACAATATCTGATGATCGACTCTTTTAAATGAAACCAGAGAGCGTTGACAGAGAGGAGAAGGTAGAAATGACTCAGYCTGKAACTGAAAATATGGATGGAGGACAACAGAGCTGCTTCATGGAAGAAGAACATCAACTGAGCCTGTTAGCCTTCGCGCTAGCCCTCAAGCTATATTGCCTTATATGTATTAGCTCAGTGCTAGCGCGTCAAACAAGCTAAACTGAGGTCCTCATCCATATTTTCAGTTGCAGTCATTTTTGTGTTCCCCTCTCTGTCATGTGGATGGAGGACCTCAGTGACGAGAGGAGAATGTGTAGCGCTGAGCTAATACATATATATGTGGTGATAGCGTCGGGGCTAACGCAAAGCTAACAGGCTAAGCTGAGGTTCATCTTCCATGAAGCAGCTCTGTTGTCCTCCATCCATATTTTCAGTTACAGGCTGAGTCATTTCTACCTTCTCCTCTCTGTCAACGCTCTCTGGTTTCATTTAAAAGAGTCGATCATCAGATATTGTCCAAGATTAACATTCAGGGTGGATATAGCTCGCTAGCAGCCTCGCACCGATGACCTACTTGATGTCATCATTTACCCAGAATGCTTTGCGTGTAAATAAAATGGCCCCATCCGTGTGATATATTTTTAAACTTCTAGTTTAAAAATGATAAAAACTGAACATCCTACAGTATTTTTACAGTCTTTATTTTACAGTTAAAGTATATGTTTATCATAAAAAGTCTAATGTTACAACTAATCGGGGATCCCTTTAAAAAGGAGCATTTGCATGAACCGCTATTAAAGTTTTGAGATGGAAACTGTTATAAGAGAAAAGCAATACACTTCAGTATTGACTGCGTTCAGGCTGGATGATAGCTCGTCAATCCAGTTAAATTAAACTGGCCAGTTTTCTGTCTGTTAGCAAAATATCTTGTGAACAACTGTGGAAACAAAACTATTCACACCATCCTTCCTATTAATCCCTCCGATTCTCCTGTAGCTACAGATTTGATTTTGGAGTCAACCCACTGCAAACTTTGTGAACACAAAAAAGGTTCAACCTGTTACTTTTTTAGAAACTGAGCTAAAATCTGATGTGATAGTAGCCGATAGTCCTCCTTGACCCACACAGCGATAACTGGAAGCAGCAAAGCAGCAGACAAAAAACATCTGCACTTTTGGGAAACTTGTTTAAATACTGCAAACCAGAAACAGAGGAGCACTTAAAAGGGCTGCGTTATCAGAGCTTTGTGTAGGTAAAATAACACACAAACTGGATAACAAAAGCAAAGCTGATTTACCCATGTGCACTGACGACTGTCTGTCAAATGAGCAAAATAGCAGACTCAATCCATTTAGCATGTTTGCCTTCATGAATATTCATGAATATATGAGGATTATCAGAACATGTAATGCTGTAAGAGAATAAACAGATAATCATTTAGCACCYGCAGTGTGATTGATGCAACGTGAAACTGATTGGGGCTGCTGTTTTAGCGTCTAGAATTTGCACAAACAAGCATAAAACAAAACTCCATCAGCTCAGAGGATAAAATTGAGAAACGGAAGCGACATTTGGATTTATGAAGTTTGTACTCGAGCAGACCTGATCGTATAGGACTGTTGAGCCWAAAATGGACGGCTTTCATGTTAGTATGCCTGCAAAGGCAATCCAAGTTTCTTGGGTTGTGCTCTTGAACAAAAGCAGTCCTCTGAAGGGAGACATATTTTCCTTTCTGAATCTTCCTCCAAATGCAGCCTGAATTACAATATTTCAACACTGGCAATATTCACAATTAATGTGATTGTGTTTTCATTTGAACTCTTTAAGAGAGGGAAAATGAAATCATTTGCCTCCTCCATCATGGAAAATGACATCTTTAAGCTAAAAGACAGAAGTACACACAAAATCCTCACTTCAGCAGGGCGGTACGCACCACTTTTGCAGCTGTCATCATTTATCAAGCAGGAAGGTCCTTTGGCCCACTGGTTTGGTCTGCACCAAAAGTGGACTTTATTATTATTATTATTTTGTTTTGTGTGGTTTGCATTCACATTTTTTTACTACTCTTTAATTTATAAACAAAGCCACACAGGTGACGTCATTGCTCCCATTGGACAGAAATGACAGGGGCGGGACAGGGCACCGACCTGGAAAGAATGATGCTGTTAATACAACTGTATTACCATTTAGAATATCAAGAGCAGCTCATTCAAAGGAGGTTTTGCGATGATATACTTCTAATTTCGGAATGGCGTTGGCAAATGYGTGCTCCAACCCAAAGAAGATGAGATGCTCTTTGTGCCCTGACCCACAACGGCTCATTRTTCTTAGCTATATGGTGGCTCGTGATGTCCAAAAAGGCACGGTTCCTGTAGTTGGTTCGGTTCGAGGCCGGTCAGAATTCACACCAGAAGAGAACCGCACCAGAGTTTGTTTRGAAGCAAATCAAGACCACCTCAACAGGGGGTCTTGGTTCGAATCACACCTGCATAAAAGGTCCGAACCAATGAGGGAAACGAACTCTGGTCTGTTTAAAGCGGACCAAATGTGTCTCACCAATACAGCCTTAGATTTAGTGCTCATTATTTGACATCATGGTAAATCAGCCCCTCTGCGTTTAAACAAATTAGTCTGGTATTTCAACATAAAAACATGTATATTTTGTGAGATTATCTGATTTTTTTTATTTTTAAATAGTCATATCTGTGCTAAAAGCAACATTTTCACTGCTCAGTTCACTTCTAAGTCAGAGTGTGAGAAGAATTTCTGCTCTTGTCTGGAGGCTTTCTCAACAGCAGACAGGATGTCGGCGTGTTCATAAATGGAGGGTTTTCACTTCAGCCCTCGCAGCCTGTGAGGAAACCTGACACATGATATTCCTGACACCTAAAGAGAGAAACACTTCTTSGACTGAATGACTGTCATATTTTCCATGCATCATTTCATCTTTTCGGGTTGTTTTATTTCCAGTTTGAGGGTCTCTGGATCGGCCCTGACATTGTGTTTCTGTTTGATTCGCACACTCAGAGGTTCAGAAATATTTATTCTCACTCACGTCTCTCCACACTGTGGTTCGTGCTCCCAGATTAGGTGATCTAAGTGGATTTCCCTGCTGGGATCAAAAGGACTAGCAGCTGTCTCCGATAAGCGGACCAGACTGAGCTGAATCCAAAGCCTAGAATCCTGGATTAAAGCGAGCGTGGCTCGGAGGAGAGAGCTCAGGGCTTGTCCTGGGTGTTTGGAGGAACTGCAGGGATAAAAGGTGGACCGAGGGTTCTGTCAGAGCTGAGGAGGGGTGGTCGCCTTTTGATGAAAGCAGGACTGTTGAAGGTCAAAGGTCAGCCCACCAACGCCTTTCTGAATGCCATAAAACACTCTGATCCCAATTTAGCAGAGCTTAATGCACGCAGAAAGGCAGAAAGTCTATTTCTGTATTCTCTCACACCCTTTATGCCTTTTTCTGTCATCTCAGCCGGCAAACGTCAGCTGTGCTCAGAGTTCAGACCTCGGCATGCCAGGCTGCTTCACCCGGCTCCGGCAACAGGCAGCTGCTGGCCGAGCCCTGCTCTCATATCACCGGTCGGCTCCGGGGTCGTGTGTCGCCTGATATCAGGGTGACAGCTGGCTGCTGAGGCGCAGCTGTGTGGAGGAATGAGGAGGATGCCTGAGCAGAAAGATGGAGCTTTCTGAAGGTTGCTCCTGTCATCAGGAGTCGCCACAGCGAGATGACGCGCACGAAGATTTAGCAATTGTTTATGTTTTTAATGCCCTTTCTGACACAACCACTGACCACTGAGCTAACACAGCCCACATTTGTGGAGCAGGGGGCTGGGGGAGCAGCTAGGTGGGTTAAGACCCAAGACACTAATGAGAAAAATGCAAGACTGGATAAAAGAGTAAGAAAAGATGAAAAATTGATTTGGAACAACATCAAAGTTCTGATTTTTTGTTCTGTAAGTGTTTCTGAGAAAACTAATCAGAATCAAACAGCTGAACCTGTTTTGTGTGAAGAAAAAGACAGAATTTTCCTCAGCAGGTAAATGTTGAAGTTACAGCTGAACAATCAGATCATCCCGGGAGGTTTCTGAAACTCTGTTACATTTTTTAGAATGTCGGTCCTTTTCCCCAACAAATCAAAAAATAAAATATTTTTGTCTCAAACATTTATATTCTCTTCATATTGATATTCTGTTAATGTGTTAACTCGTTTATGCAAACTAGTAGTTTTTTTTAATCTAGTGTTTACTGTACATCAAAACCATGGCTCATTAAAAACCTTGAAAAAATGCATCTGGTGCCTTTAAAAGGCTTTAAACAATAATAAAAAAATAATAAATAATAATAATATTAATAATAACAATAATAATGCATTTTATTTATAGGCGCCTTTCAAAACTCCCAAGGTAACCTAACAAAAATAATAAAATCACAATAGAACAATAAACAAAATACAAAACAATAAATCGATTAACAGAACAAAATAAAATATTGGAGGCTTCATAATAAAAACAGTCTTATTAAATACTGTAAAATTAATGATAATTATAAAGATTAGGGTTCAAGTGTATACAGTATGCTTTCCTGAACAGATAGGTTTTGAGTTGGGATTTGAAGGTGGTAATAGAAACTGAATTTCTAAGGTCCAGAGGGAGAGAGTTCCATAGGCGGGGGGCCGAGCAGCTGAAGGCTCTTGACCCCATTGTGGTCAGGCGAGCAGAAGGAAAAATCAGTTGGGAAGAAGTAGAGGATCTAAGATTACGAGCAGGAATGTAAGCATGGAGAAGTGAAGAAATATATGGAGGAGCAAGGTTATGAATGGCCTTAAATGTAAGAAGGAGGATCTGGTAAACAATGCAATATTTAATGGGAAGCCAGTGTAGTTGCTGCAGGACAGGTGTTATATGACAAATGGACGGGGTTCTGGTGATAATTCGAGCGGCAGAGTTTTGAACAATCTGGAGTTTATGGAGAAGTTTGTCTGGTAAACGAAAGAGAAGAGAATTACAGTAATCAAGACGAGATGTGACCAAAGCGTGAACCTGAATGGCTGTATTGTTGGATGAAAGGGACGGATGCAGGCGAGAGACGTTACGTAGGTGGAAATAAGATGACCGAGTGACATTAATGACATGAGAGTGGAAAGATAAGGTACTGTCAAGGATGACACCCAGACTCTTAACCTGGGGAGATGGAGAAACTAGTGAGTTGTCAAYGTAAATGGAGAGATTGTTAGTCTTAAAGAGGGTGGATTTGATGCCAACAAGTAAGATTYCTGTTTTGTCACTGTTAAGTTTAAGAAAGTTATTTGAAAACCAAGACCTGATTTCCTTAAGGCAGTTAGAGAGGAAGGTAGGTGGAAGGGATGCGTTTGGTTTAGCGGAAAGGTAGAGCTGGGTGTCATCTGTAYAGCAATGAAACTGTTCGTTGTGTTTACGAAATATGTAGCCAAGAGGGAAGATGTAGATRATGAATRGGAGGGGTCCAAKGACAGMGCCTTGGGGAACACCGGAGGAAAGGAAAGAGGGTTCAGAAGAAAATGTTTTGAGTTGAATGAACYGAGTACRACCAGAGAGATAAGATTTAAACCAATTTAGTGATGTGTCAGAAATTCCTATGGGTGCTAATCTGGATGTTGAAATTATCTAATGATGGGGAAAGACAATGTGATATTGGCCAGCTCAAACAGACCTTGTAAATGATTGGATAGTGTGAGCTTTTATAAGATTGTTTGCACTACGAGTGTGTGTTGAGGATGGTTCTCAGCTACTGCACCAAACTTTAGCTACAACTTTAGTCATTTTTCCGCTACCTAATGTCACTTAAAGGGATCCGTGATTAGCTGTAACATTAGACTTTATTTGATAAAAGTATATTTTAACCGTAAAATAAAGACTGTAAAAATACTGTAGGCTGTTTAGTTTTATTAATTTTTAAACTAAAAAGTTTAAAAATCGCCATCTTGAGAATTACCAMATTGGAACAAGGGCAAGGTTTTCCAGAGGCTTCCTCTTGCTGGGGTATCCAGATATAACATTTTTTTTCTGAAATACAAGGCTGTCCTCTGACTTTTGACTCACACTGTCCATTCACTGACTACGTTCTGAAATTTATCATGTAGTTGATAAAATATTTTTCTAAAACAACAAACAAGCACTCTCATACAGACACAGGCAAAAGCACTGTCATCTTTGACAGCTTGTGASCAAATGTCTTAACAGAGAGATCTGCAGATCCATGTATTTGAGTTTCATTTTCATAAACTTTTGAAAGGTGAAGTGTCTGATTGGAGGAAACGTTAGGCTGACAGAGGTTTTGAAGCTCACCTCTCTGATTTTCTCCACCTCGCTCTGTAAGACCTCCCTGGCCACTTCCAGCTCCTGAGTCTTCTCCCTCAGCGCCTCGTTCTCCCACTCCAGCTGGGAATTCTTCTTCTGCACCACCTCCAGCTCATTGTACAGGCGGAGGAACACGCTCTTTGCAACCTGGAAGCAGATCAGAGCAGCAAGTGTGGAGGAAGTGCTCAACRTCATCATCATCAYCATCATCATTTTTTACTGGGTGAGTGGAGCGTTTCTCTGCAGCTGCTGGTTTGGCTCGGAGACTTTACAAGGAAATTCTTCTGACGGGAATTTGCCATGTGAGTGGATGGAAGTGGGTGAGAGTGAGGCTGTCAGGAATCACACACACACACACACACACACACACACACAC